AGGGGGGACCTTCTCACTCTCTGCAACTCCCTGACAGGAGGGGGGAGCCAGGGAAGATCTCATGGGAAGTGTGCAGCCTTTCTTGAGAGACATCACGCTCCTTTTGATATTGAAGATCACAGGTAGGAAAAGTAACAATTCAGGGAATCCAACAAAAACAACCAAAGAATTTGGTCATGTATGTTCCCTGTCACCTCCTTTCAAGCTGTGTCCCTAATAATTTCCCTGATCTCATCCCTGCTGCGTGGGATTGAGAAAAGGAGCCCCAGTTCTGGCCCTGAGCCTTGTTTTGAGTTGAGTGACCTGACACAGAGCCTGCCCATTGCTCCCCTCTTGCCTCACCCAAAAACCAGCCCACCTGTCCTGCCATGGGCTTGGTCCAGCACCCACTAGTTCCCTGGCACCTTATTTTATAGAATCTTAGGATGATTTGTGTTGGAAAGGACCTTAGAGCTCATCTAATCCAACTGTCCCTGTCCAATGGGCAGGGACACCTTCCACAACTTCCGTCCAAGCCCTGTTCAACCTGTCCTTGGACACTTCCAGGGATGGGGCAGCCACAGCTTTTCTGGGCAACCTGTGCCAGGGCCTCACCACCCTCACAGGAAAGAATTTATTCCTAATATCTAATCCTTCCCTCTGACACTGTGAAACCTTTCCTCCTTGTCCTGTCACTCCAAGCCCTTGTTGAAAGCCTCTCTCTAGCTTTCTTGGAGCCCTTTTAAGCACCAGATGGGACTCTCAGGTCTCTCTGGAGCCTTCTCTTCTCCAGGTTGAACAAGCCTAGATCTTCCATCCTCTCTCCATAGCTGAGGTGATGCAGCCCTCAGAGCATTTTCATGGCCCTTTGTCACTTTGTACCTTATCACTGTATTTCTCAAACCCTGAGTCCACCCCCTTTCTGCGGGGTTACTGATTCTAGAAATCAACACCCCCATTTATCTCCCTGCTGCAGGACAGGTAAACACTCAGACTGCAGGGATTAGGAGTGAATTCCCCACACCAGCACCATCAGCATCACGTAATCCCTGCCTCCCGTTCATCCTGCAGCTCTGACCAAAGCATGAGGAAGACTCAGGGGTGACAGCCGAAAATGAGGTCTGTCCTTGGCCTATGGAGGGAGCCCAGAGATGCCACTGGTCCCCTCAGAGGTCCCACAGATATAACACAGAGCTGTGGTCACTGTTGTGCTGGAGCAACATTCCCATTCAGAGGTTTCCACTGGTGGTACCTGTGGCACACCTGTCAGCCACATTTCCCCTGAAATTTTGGTGTTTTCGGTTCACACCTCTTGGCTGTGGCCTGCACTTGGTCACGAATCTTGCTGGTGTGATAAAGCTCTGCGAGCAAACCCTGCCCAGGGTAACCCCCGTGTGGATGTGATCGGTCAGAGCTCTAAACCAGAAGGTGATCTTGTGGTGTCACACACCAGAAGGGTAAAATCTGGGGTGGCCAGAGAGGCAGGAACAAGCTGCTGGAGGTACAAACCCTGCCCTGTGCTGCAGCCACCTCAGCCTGAAATATTGATTTGATCTTGACATCCAGAGCTTTCAGATGTGGCAATCTCAGCCCTTTCCTGCTGCAGGTTACAGACAGTCCCCTGAGCAACCTGGTGTGGTGGAAGGGGTCCCTGCCCCTGGCAGAGGCTTGGAAAGAGGTGAGCTTTAGGGTGCCTTACAACCTAAACCATTCTGTGATGCAAGCCCAACCTGAAATGAGGAATTTCTTATGCCTGCAGTGCTGTGAAAACCTGAACCTGTGTGTAACAGTGCAAACAGTGGGGTTTCCTTATAGTAACTCAAGAGTAGAAGAATTCTTGTAAGTGAAATTAAAATTTTCTGGTTTATTTCCAAGTCCCCATCCCTGCTCCAAGGCTGTGATGTGTGGGAGTGAACAACTTTTTGAGATAACTAAATATTCCTATATTTAAGGAAGAAATTCTTTCCTGGGGGGCGGGGGTGAGGCCCTGGCACAGGTTACCCAGAGAAGCTGTGGCTGCCCCACTTCTGGAAGTGTTCAAGGCCAGGCTGGACAGGGCTTGGAGCAACCTGGGACAGTGGAAGGTGTCCCTGCCCATGGCAAAGGGGTGAAACTAGATGATCTTTAACATCCCTTCCAACACAGACCATTCTGTGATTCCATGAATATTTTTCCTCCCTTCTAATGGTTTGAGTGCGGTGACCCCTTTCAATCAAATTTTCAGTGAACTTCAGTGAAAGACAGGTTCAATCATAGGAAAGTTAGGGTCAAAGAGGGAACCCCTGCTGAATTTACGGGCTGCTGAAGGCACAAGATGTGAGTGGAAAGTGGTGGTGCGGGCTCATAACCTGGTACTTGACGTGATGACATCATTGCTTCATCACACATAATGGTTTCCCCTTAACCCTGTTCCTGCACAGTCCAACCCATTTTCATGGCAATGCCCTTTCCCTTCACAGCCAGCACTCAGGGGAAAAAAAGGAGGTCAGTTGCTGGGCTAAAAAAGGTGGATTTCTGGTAATTCTCCCCTCTCTTGCTCTTCCATGCTTAGCGTCGCATCTCAGTAGATGCGGTGGTGGATACATAGAACAGTCAGAATAGGAACATGTGTCACAGGATTTATATTACTTCAGGTAAACATAGCAACCTGAAATGTGAAAAATTTACGTGAGGCGAGTCTCAGGTTTCTGAGCTGAGAGTTGATTCAGACCACAAAATTATGACAACATCCTGCAGCGACGTAAAGCATCAGCCGATGGAGATTTCTGCTGGTATTATTCAGACCAGATTAGTCCCTTCTCACTGGAAAATTACGAAAATTTGTAAGAGGGTTCTGATTTTCTGTAGGAGCAAAAATGTCATAAATCTGTCGATTTCCTGGAGGACTGAAAATGACTTTGTGTGAAGAGTCCTACACTTCAGTCCTCTGCTTCCAGCTTGGCTATGTGGCTTTGGGAAACATTTCTCTCAGGGCTCTTCTCCACAGAAAAGCTGATTAAAATGGTTATATAGGCCTTTTTTCTGCCATAAAAATAGCTTTTACTCCCAAAGAGACCTACTGGTGCTCCTGAGGAAACAACACATGCATTAGTCTTTCCCTTCCAGTTTGTGGTTGATCCTTTCTGGATCACAGAATGTAGAGTCCTGTTTCCACTTTTACTTTCATTCCTCTCTCCCCTAATTATAAAATGAGGATTGCATGATTAAGAGTCATTAAATTTTCCATGAACACTAAGGAGTGGAGGAACCAGACAGAGGAACAGCAATAACGCAGCACCAATGAAGTCCCTGAGCCAGCTCTTCCAGGGCTGTCCGAGGGGGACAGTCAACCCCAGTACACATCTGAGTCCCCCCAGATAAGTTAATGGGAGAGGCTTTCCCCACATCACCCTGCTGACTATAGGATTATGGGACTTGTTATGGTGTGCTGGGAAGAGTATTTGGGATTGTGCAAGACTTGTGAGGTGTATAGAGGAAGGAGCAAAGCTGGGGAAAGGAAAGGATGAAGGTGGATCAATAAAGAACATGCGTGTGTGTGTGAGGGTTTATGTCAGCGTGGAAATGCTAAAGACATCAAGCTGGATGTGCTCTGGGTGTTGGAGCAGCCACAAATCTGGGCAGGATGACAGACCAGAGACTAGTGGGTCTCATAATTGGCCACTGGGAATACTGGGAGGTCTAGACTTAGCTACAGGGGAGATGGTGGGACCTGGGAGTTGGCTGCTGGTAAGGAGCAACCACTGGTGGGTGTTTGTGTCTGTGGAATGGGGGACTGGGGGACCCAGGGCAGCTGCTGGAGAGATCCAGTGATGGGGTCACTGTCCCTGGAGGTGTTTAAGGAAAGACTGGACAAGGAACTTTGTGCCACGGTCTAGTTGACATAGTGATGATAGGACATAGGTTGGACTTGATGATCTCAGAGGTCTTTCCCAACTAATTGATTCTGTTATTCCATATACATATATATACACATGCACACACACGTACACATATTCACTGCACATGAGTTTGCTCCAGTGCTACCACAGGGAGTCCTAGTCTCCCAGCTGTCCCCTCACCTCATCCCTCACCATTGCTATGCCATCGCTGTCTACAGCCACTGCTCTGGTAGGGATGGTACAGCCCTTTCAGACACTTTAAAATCAGTAAAAACTGTTTAAAAATGGTTTTTTCCAGCCCCAGTGGCACTCAGAGGAGAGTTAAGTAGAATGCAGTGCGGTATGACTGTGGGGAAGGTCACACAGAATCACAGAATCATTTAGGTTGGAAAAGACCTCTGAGGTCATCGAGTCCAACCTTTGACCATTTCCCACCTTGTCAACCACACCAGAGCACTGAGTGCCACGTCCAGTCTTTCCATGAACACCTCCAGCGATGGGGACTCCACCACTTCCCTGGGAAGCCCATTCCAATGTCTAATTACCCTTTCTGAGAAGAAGTTCTTCCAACTTAAATCTCCCCTGGCACAGCTTGAGACTATATCCTCTTGTCCTGTCACATATTGCCTGGGAGAAGAGCCTAACCCCCACCTGGCTCCACCTTCCTGTCAGGGAGTTTCAGAGAGGGATAAGGTCCCCCCTGAGCCTCCTTTTCTCCAGGCTGAGCCCTCCCAGCTCCCTCAGCTACTCCTGGTGCTCCAGACCCTTCCCCATCTCCATTTCCCATCATGAATGTCCAAGGAGTCCGTCCAGGAGAAATGCTGCTCCAAGGTCCATGCAGCTGACAAGGCCAGAGGAGGGGCAGGAAAGCAGCACTCCCGTGTCCTGTCCTCATTTTGAAAGCCTTGCTGGGTGCCTGGCTTTTGCAGCTTGCTCATCTCTGCCGTTTGGTTTGTGTGAGGCACGTGGAGGTGCATCCACACATGGGTTTGTGGTGAAACAACATTATTATTAGAAAGAGGGGGTGGGAGGGGGTAAAAAAAAAAAAAAGCTGCCCGAACAATTTTTTTTCTCTCTTTTTCTTTTTCTTATCTCTTTATCTGCCTGAATAAATGGTATTGGCTAATCTGGGATTCTGGTGATAGTATCTGCCCTCCCCTTTTTGGAGGTAGATGGGAGGAAGTGGGCTAGGAAATGAAATATCAGCTCTTAACCTCGGGTCAGGTAAAGCAGCTGTGCTGCAATGGAAAGGGTGGTAGTGGCTGAACTTTGCTATAAAAAGGAGATCACAACTGGCTTTGAGACACAAGCAGGTGGAAGGGGTCTCAGAGAAGGAGAAGTCTCGTGCCTTGTCACCCTGTGCATCCACCCAAAGCAGCAGAGAGGTGGCCATGGCTTTTTCCAGCTACACTGCCATGGTAAGTACCTATATTTAATGTAAAGGTTAAGAAATATTTTCTGCAAGAGAGAAAGCAGAGTGCAGGTCCTGTCATTTCTACAAGAAATCCTTTTGGTCCTGGTGGGAGCTGAATGGGATGCTGATTCTCTCTGATGCAGCTGTGTTTGGTGGTTGAGTGACAAGGATGCAATGGACTATTTATTATTTATTTATCTCTTAGTTATCAACACTTGTTATCAAAACTGCTGAAATTTCACTGTGAACATATATGAATTTAAATTTCAGCCTGGGTAGCATTTGCAGCACTGTCAGCTCCTGTGATTTCCTTAAAACCTCTTCATTTATTTTGCCTTCTTTTTGGGAGTTGGATTTGATGATCCTTGTGAGTCCCTTCCAACTCAAGATATTCTATGACTCTATGAGTCACTAAAACTCTGTCTACTGGAGATGGCCCGAGAATCTCAGATTTCCTTGGAAAAAGTGTTATTTCCAGCAGATGAGGGATTGCTAGTCTTTACTGTCCTGAGAAATGGCTTGCTGGATTTCTAAGGCACAAGAAGGGATGTTCTTCTTGGTGCAAAGCTGACTATGAATCAGAATTAAAATCAGAATTTAAGTCAGACTTTAGCATCTGTACTGATGAGTTTTATTTGCAGTGTTGTGCTGTTTGCTCATGCTGGCCTGTCTCAACCAAATATAAGTAAGAAGATGGTCCAGTTTAGTAAAGACTTGGCTCTTTGTGCTCTTCTTTTCTTGACTGGACAGAACTAAGATAACTTTCCTCTCTTCCAGTTCAGATCACTGTTTTTGGTGCTGATTCTAGCACTCACTGTAAGGAGCTCACCCCATAAGAAGGTAGTTCATGCTCAACCCAGCAAGGCTGGTGCCTCTGTGAGGCTGAGTGAAGATTGCCTGAACCAAAGAGATCCCAAATTCCCCACATCAGTGGAAGTCAACATTCGTATCATCAAGTCACATCATGCCTTTAGGATGGTCCACGATATCAGGAACCGATCTCTCGCTCCTTGGGATTACAGGTAACTGCTTACTTGTTATCTTAATTGTGATATCTGTGTACAGAGAGGGTTTTTTTTGGGGTGAACGATGGCTGCTTCTCAGCATATGCCCAGAGTCCTGTAAATATTACAAACACTTCTTGACACATGCTGATTTTTGATGCTGGGTGACATTTCTCCAAGAGAAACTGTTTGCAGTGCTTTGGAAGGGTTTTTAATCCTCTTGTCCGCCTGTGTCAATCACAGACAGAATCATTTAGGTTGGAAAACGCCTCTAAGATCATCGAGTCCAACCATTCCCCCAGCACTGCCAGGGCCACCACTAAACCATGTCCCCAAGTGTCACATCTACACAGATTTTAAACCCCTTCAGGGATGGTGATTCCATGACTGCTCTGGGCAGCTGTGCCAGGGGTGGTCAACCTCTTTGCGGAAAAATTTTTTCCTGGTATCTAAACTAAACCTCTCTTGGCACCACTTGAAGCCTTTTTCTCTTGCCACTTGTTCCTTGGGAGCAGAGCCCGACCTATACGTGGGTCCACCCTCCTGTCAGAGAGTTGGAGAGAGAGAGAAGGTCCCTCCTGAGCCTCCTTTTCTCCAGGCTGAGACCCCCCCCAGCTCCCTCAGCTGCTCCTGGTGCTCCAACCCCTTCCCCAGCTCCATTCCCTTCCCTGAACACGCTCCAGCCCCTCAGTGTCTCTCTTGTCTGAGGGGCCCAGAACTGCTCCCAGCCCTGGAGGTGCCCCAGCAGTGCCAGCACAGGGACAGGTACTGCCCTGGGGCTGTGACACACCAATGCTGGGACAGCCCAGGTGCCACTGGCCTTCTTGGCCACTTGGGTACACCTGACTCATGTTCAGTCATGGGCAGTTAGCACCCCCAGGTACTTTTCCAGCTTTCCAGCCACTCTGTCCCCAGTCTGTAGCACCGTATAGGGTTGAAATGATGATGAAATGAATTATTTCCCTGGGAAAAGAATGATGTCAGTCCATTGTAATTCTAAATTTTCCAAACTGAAAGAAGTTTCTGAATTCTGAAATTAAAACCATTTTTAAAACCATTTAAAAAAATGAATTGTGAGATTGCAGTGAGTTCTGTATTTAACTCAGCTCCTCTCCATTCATCAATCCCCAAAGAATGATACAGCACTATTACCCTCCCAAAATTGATTCCATTTCTAGGAAATCGTTGTAAAAAATGTTGAGGATAGGGAAGTTATTTGGCCAGGTGTCACAGTGAGGAGGCACAGGTGAACAGTAGAGTGCCTCCATGGAGATAAACAAGAAGATCCTGCCAACCCGTGCTGTGCAAAGACATAAATCCCTTTCCTGTGCCCATCCCCAGGCTCGACGAGGACCCCAACCGCTTCCCCCAGGTGATTGCTGAAGCCCAGTGCCGCCTCTCTGGCTGTGTGAACCCCCTGGGGCAGGAGGACCACAGCCTCAACTCCGTCCCCATCAAGCAGGAGATCCTCGTCCTGCGGCGGGAGCAGCAGGGCTGCCGGCCCACCTACCGCCTGGAGAAGAAACTCATCACCGTGGGCTGCACCTGCGTCACTCCAGTCATCCGCCACCACTCCTAGGAGGAATCAGTAGGGCAGGTGGCACTGGGAAGAAGCAGTATATCTACAGACACCCCTCTGGTGAAATCCCACAGTTGCCCACTGTGAATCCCAGGAACTCAACATGACATCGCCCTTCCAAACCTGAGCAAATTGCCTCCTGAAATTACCTCATGATTCAGTTGTTGTTGCTTGATGGATTTTAGAATGGGAATCACTGGTAGCTGGTGATGGAGGGGAGGGAGAGGGATGGAGAAAAAACTTTGTTTGTGACCTCAAGCGGTGAGAGGGTAAAGCAGTGCTTTTTTTTTGAATTTATTTTTCATTGTGGTTTATATCGGTTTGGTGAATCAAATGAGTTATAGTTTCAAAAGTTGCCCTAATGAGTACCTACCCCCAAGCACTGCCATAAAAAATTCCTCCTCCTGCACCTTCTCCTTCCCTTACTCGTCCTCTACCCCTTTCCCTTCTCCGGCTACCCCTGCTCACTAAGATATTATCTGTGTCAATCAAACATTTGTGCCAACAGGGCCTGAACTGTTATCATATTCTGCATTTGTTTGGTTTTATTTGGTATGGGCTGATTTATTGCAGAGCATTTTGGGACAGAACTGAGTTCACTGCAATGAGTGTTAAAATGGTAAAGAACCAATGAATATTTATATCTATATTTATGTCTTCTATTTATGACTGTATTTATGGCTTTGTGTGTGCTCAGAGTACAAAAAGAAAAAAAAAGGATAATTTTAATCTGTATTTATTAAATAACTTATCTGCTGAATAAAAAATCATATTTTATTTAAAAAAAATGTTGTTTTGTGGTAGCTCAAAATGGAAGCAGATACAGAGATACAGCAGATACAGCAAAGATCAGGCATTTTCCAGTACAGTGATATGAGTAAGAGGGAGCAGAAGAGAATTTGCAGCCTAAATAGGTGAAAAGATGAGGGAGATGACAATGGAGCCGGGTTCTTCAGACCTTGGGGATGGTCTCTAGGGATGGTGGGAAATGAAGTGGGAGATACCACATTGCAGGGTTGCAGCTGGAATTTGGGAACCTGGTTTATGAGAGCTGGGAAAGGCCTGTCCTATCGTCTCCCAGAGAAGAAGTCATCCTTACAAACACCCTTCTTCTCCACCAGGTGGATGGTTGGCTGAGCAGGAATGCAGGGAAATGTGAGGTGGCTTCATCTTGCTCCTCTTCAGCCAGCTAAATAATAGGCGTTGGGATTGAAGTGGTGGAAGAGGATCCCTACTCATCAAGGGAACGAGGAATTGTACCTGCAGGGCAGGGTTGTCTGCTGAGCTGAGATGTCCTACCTTAGGAAAGGAAGAATTGCCCTTTCTCTCCCTTAGATGCACAAGGAGCAGAGACTAAAAAGACTCACTATTCAGGAGCTGGACCCAGTGATCCTTGTGCGTCCCTTCCAGCTCAGGATATTCTGTGATTCTATAACTATTTATTATTTTATCAAATTGCTGCAATGTTGCTTTTTTTTTTTTTTTTGGCATTACTTTATCTTTCACCCAGAGCTGAGCCAGACTCTCAGACCTCTGACTTTGATTTCTGTTGGTGGAGGCTTTAAGCTTCTATTTCCTTTTCCCCCCTGCTTTTAAATCAGGGCAAACCTGTGTGAACGCATTCTCGTATTTCATTTTGACTGCACAGAAACCACTTAAAATTAGATCCACCTGGTGCAGGTAGACTCTTGGTTTCCTCCCCAGAGTAGGTCGGGCAAGTTGTTGGGTCTAAATGACACAAGGCCATGATGGACGTGGCTTGGAGCAACCTGGTCTAGTGCAAGGTGCCCTTGCCCATGGCAAGGGGGCTTGGAACTAGATGATCTTTAAGCTTTCTTCTAACCCCAAAAATTCTGTGATTCTGTGGTTCTGTGATGAATGCTTTGGTGCTTTTCTGTGGAGTCGAGTGTATTCTCTGCCCTGTGGGTCACTGGGAGCTGTTTCAACAGCCCATGGGTAACCATCTCATTCAGTTACAGGCATTTGTACTCATTTGTGGCAGCAGCTGTTTCGTTATGACCACCAAGCTCTTCATGTGGTGCAGAGCAAACCTCTGGAGGCGTTTTCTGCTCGCTCTCTTGTATCACCAGCTCTGCTCTTACAGTAACCACTGACCAGGAAACCGTAACCCGCTTCTTACTCCTGACCTATTTCTTTCCCTCTCGATAAGTCCACCTCCTGGGGTTGTCCTCACTTGTTTTTCAGGGAGAAAACTACTCTCTCTCTCTCTTCTCAGACGTAACTGCTTTGACATGGGGTTCAGGGTGATGCTCCTAAACATCCACTACCTTGCCTTAAGAGTTGTCCTGCCTGGATGAATGATGAAGTAGCTAATCAAGAAAATACACAGGTAGCTAATTAAGGAAGTCTCTCCCACAGGTCATGAGGTTTTGCAGCCAGAGCTACCAATTGCAAACCAAACACCTCTTAGGGAGGTGTGGGGATTGTTTCTAAACAAAATGAGCAATGGGGGCTGTTTCCTTCTGATGGCATCATTCTTAGAGTGCAGCTGGTTGTAAACACGAGCCTGGTTATATTTAAGGTGCTGGCTTTCACTTCCAGCAATCTATTAATTTGGGGATTGGAACTAGAATGATCTTTGAGGTCCCTTCCAACCCGAACCATTCTGTGATTCTGTGAATCTGAGAACATGGCAAATGAGTTTGTGCTTCTTGTAAACAGCACAGTCATAACACCACTGAGAGCAAGCACAGTTCAGAGCTGGGGACCAGCCTTTGCTAAAAGCTCTGCTTATTTCTTAACACCTCAGCTACAGATCCAGCCCAGCTGAGTGTCCAGCTGGGCATCTGTGGCTCTCGGTGTGGCTTAGGGAAGCCTTCAGGGACTCAGTTTTTTTACCAGGAGGAGAAGACACATCTGTAGGTGTAACAGCAGTGCCACAGCATTTTCTTGTAACCTGCTGGGCCAAGCAACCTCCAGTCGCTGGGCCAAGCAACCTCCAGTCACAGGTTGGTATCTGAGCCTCGTGGCCTTTCCTATCCCTTTCCTCCTCTGCTTGCCTCTCACTAACCTCCTTTCCATGACTCTTGCTCGCTTCTCCCCTTGCTGTGCCTGTTCTGGCAGCTCAGGCAAGGATCCTGGGGCAGCAATTCCCATGGGATGTTGGTGCAGAGACCCCTGGATTAACATGGGGGGCACAGCAGTGATCTCTGCTCAGGTAGATGCCTCCTCCCTGACTTGTGCTGTGACCTGTGGATGTAATGACCTGAAAGTGTGAGTCAGACTTCTTTGGACCCCTGACCACAGGGATGTTCAAAGGGACTATGGACCAGCCCAGCCTGTTACACAGAAAATATTGCTTGTTTTTGAAACAACCCCAAAATTATTTGTGTCTGTGCTTGGTAAACCAGAAAAAAAGACTAATGGCTGGAAAACTCAGCCGTTGACATAGTTTGTTCAGAGTTAGACCTTACAGGAGAAACTTCAAGGGTATGAGCAATTTTCTGGTCAGTCCTGTGGAGATCTGTGGGCTGGTGCCAACATGATGAGTGTAGATGATGGGGTGAATTTCTGTATCAGCTGCAAGTTCTGGAGATGGCCCAAGACACCAGACCAGAAACCTGCTCCCATGTCACCATCAGGGGGTAAAACATGAGACTTGCCTTGATCTTCCCTGTGAGGGTGGTGAGGCCCTGGCCCAGGTTGCCCAGAGAAGCTGTGGCTGCCCCATCCCTGGAATTGTTGGACTGTGCTTGGAGCAACCCTGGGAGAGTAGAAGGTGTGCCTGCCCACGGCAGGAGGTTGTAAAAAGAGATCTTTAAGGTTCCTTCTTATCCAAACCATTCTGCAATTCCACAATCTCCTTTTATCTCCATCCCCTTCTTCCTCTTACTTCTTTGATATTATTTTTAACCTTGTGCTTTAGAAGAATCTACTGAGTGGGCTGGGCCTGCATTTTCTGTACGACTGTTACATGACAGTGACAAAGAAACCCCAAACTTGCTTAAAATTTCTGTGATTGTCTGGTACTACTTGTCAGAGTCAGAGCTGTTGGTGGGGGTGGGACTGTGCTGGTGCTGATTTTCAGGAGCTGAGAAGATGCCAGTCAGATTCATCACCAGAAACAAACTATACCTTCTGTTTTTTGGTGCTCACAAAGAGAAGTTCCAGGAGTTGGAATTCAGTGATACTTGTGGGTCCCTTCCAACTCAAGATATTCTATGACTGAAAACATATTCCATATTTTCAAATTATTCTCCCTACTTCCAGGGCTAGATAGTGGTAGAAGGTTCAAATCCTCAGGTCCTCAGAGAAATCCCTTCCTGCTTTCTATGTAGCTTTTTATTTATTTATTATTCCTTCAGAAAAGTGGCACAGCTTTTCCACCTTTTCTTGTAACTTCAACAAAACATTAAAAATGTGCTTGATGCTCTTTGGGGGATATGGACTGACAAAATACTCTTTTCTGGGCACAGGTTTCTATGAGTGAGTAAAACCTGTACAAACCATCGTGTTTCTGTTTATCTGCATTCTTAGTAAGCATAATGTATTTGTATCATGATCAAAGTTCCCTGATCTGGTAAACAGATAGAGATGGTTTATCTTCTCTCTAACTTGCCCCTAGAATTTTTTGGTTTGGCTTTTTATTTCAGTCTTCTTAAACCTGTGTTTCTTGGTCTCCTTGCGGCTGAATCTGTAGCACCTTTTACAAGCATCTTGTTTCTATATAGATTGCTTTGATAAGTGGCAACAGTGAGCCTGGTTATCTGATAACTTGCTGCACAAATCCAGTCTCAAACTGCTGGGTTTTGCTCACAGGTTGCCAAGCAATCTGTTTGCCAAGACACTGCTGCTCAGATTTTGCAAACTGACACGAAACTGAGATGGGGAGCAGTGGAAACTCTTATGTTGAAGAGGCTTCTGCAGCAATTTCCACACCCTGGCCCCCCCGTACCTCCAATGACGATATCGTTTAAGGGCATCAAATTAGCAGAAATTTGTGCTGCAACTCTTGAAAACAAGAAGGAACAAGCTTTACCTGTTGAACCTCAAACTGCTAAGAGCTGTGCAAGGGTGAGAGAGGAGCCCTAGTCTCTTCAGTCTCCTCTTGTGATCACTGTCGACTGTAATCATGAATGTTTGCCCAGAAAAATAAGGACACTGATCAGGTGACCCGTGGCA